GCGCACCCACTGATTGCAGAACAGTGTTGCCAAATTCAGAGAAGTGCAAATTTCGAAGGTCCGCAAATTGTTTCGGAAAGGGCGAAATTAGGTGGACAGAATCATTGAGTTGGAAGGGACCACAAGAGTCATCTAGTCCAATCTCCTGCGATGCAGGAATCTTTTGCGCAACACAGGGCTCGAACCCACGACCCTGAAATCAAGTGCCTCATGCTCTACCAACTGAGCTATCCCAGCTTTGCGTTTTAAGGGTGGACTGAATCAAATCTGCTACAGTAGCAGAATAAGCAGCAGGGCCCCTGAATGCAGAAGAGTTGGCTTTCCTATGTTTTGAAGTAATACACATTTGCCATCTAAGTAGGAAGGACAGGACCGTTCAGTCCAGACTCTAAAAGCACCTCGCTCTGCGCACTGTGTCCATGTGGCCGGGGGTGGCGCGGCCACATGCTTCCTAATCCCCAGCTCTGCTTACTTTTTTGCGGTTCAGAGGCTCATTCACGAAAAGCACAGCACTCTAATCTTAAACCCCTTCCCTGGGAAATACGTTCCACGGTGGAACATGTGGCAGTGAAATAACAGGTTTTGCTTAGGATCTGGGTAGAGGAAGCCACTTTGAACAGAGAGCTGGGGATTGCTCTCTCCCATCACCACCCCCCTTTCCCATTTTCGGGTAAGACGCCAACAGGCTTGCAATTAAGACCTCAGCCAACTTGACAGCGACTGCAGGCAGCCGATAGGTCAGCTATCTGATCGACCAGCACTTAATTTGCAACAAGAAGCGCTGGGTTTCAACCCCTGCGGAGAACACTGTATATATCCTTTCTCCTTGAAGCCTTTCCCTCAATCCTCAGATGCACGGGAGAGAGATATTGCGCACGTGATCAAAGCAGGCGTTCCTTTCCTTGCAATGCATGTTCCAAGGCCTGGATGGCTCAGCTGGTGAGAGCACGGTGCTGATAACGCGAATGTTGCAGGTTCGATCCCCACATGGGAAAGCTGCATATTCCTGCATTGAAGAAGGTTGTATTTCTTCAGGGCGCTTTCCAGCTCTACGGTTCTAAGACTCTAAGGCCAAACTCTGGCTCTGAAACACAGCCAAGGACCAAACTAATCTCTGGGTCCAGGGCCGAGATGAAACCAGCCAGACCCGCCTTTGCTTCTTTCTATGTTCCCTTGTGGTGGTCCTTCTCCGAGAGCATTTCCAGGCCACCTGCTGTTTATTTATCTTGGTTGGTTTCCAGGGAGGTTAGACGACGCTGTGTCAAAACAAGGAACATCCTGCACTTTCCTTGTGCTTTCGTTAACGCAAAAAAAGCCCGATCTTTTAGGAAGCGGTGTTTGTTCCACAAGATTCTCCCCATCAAACTGAAATTGCGCAACCACAATTTGCCGGTACGTGATGGAATCCCGCTGGAAAATGGTTGACAGTCTGTGAGTCAGCAAAAACAATACTAGAAAAGTCTGGTACTAATCTTCTTCCGGCGTCACGGCTGGGCCACGCTGCTCCTCAATTCTCAGCATATACTCTGTGACTCTCAAGCAGATAATAACACATGTCAGTGCTTGATGGTTTGTAATAGAGATGTCAGAGAATTCTGACGGAAACGGGAGCAGAAATTGCCAATGTTTGCTTATTTGCCCTGTGTCCGGGACGGAAACCAATCCAGCAAACGCAGTTGCTATTTGACGTTGTTGATGTTTTCGGTCTGGCAACGATACCTAATTAATCATCCCCATTTCCGCTGCGCTTCTGTTGCTCTGAAATTAATGGAACTGGCCCTGTTACAGGAGCCACGTAATACTCGTTCCGTAGTTGCAAGTAATCCATCATGGCATTACCTACACTTTGGAACTCCCTGCCTGTTGACCCCCAAAAGGCTGTGCTTAAAGCTTAAAACATTTCTGTTTAGGCAAGCATATCCAGACAGGCAGATGCTGTCAAAGTTTAATCTCTTTTGCTGTTGATTTAAATGATTTATTAATATTTTAAACTGGGTTTTTTATTGATAATTTTAATATTTCTTGTAAACCACTTGGAGGTTTTGCTGCAATCAAGGGGTATATAAAAAGGTAAAGGGAACCCTGACCATTAGGTCCAGTTGTGACTGACTCTGGGGTTGCTCGCTCATCTCGCTCTATAGGCCAAGGGAGCCGGCGTTTGTCCGCAGACAGCTTCCAGGTCATGTGGCCAGCAGGACTAAGCCGCTTCTGGCGAACCAGAGCAGCGCACGGAAACGCCGTTTACCTTCCCACCGGAGCGGTCCCTATTTATCTACTTGCACATGACGTGCTTTCGAACTGCTAGGTTGGCAGGAGCAGGGACCGAGCAACGGCAGCTCACCCCGTCGCGGGGATTCGAACCGCCGACCTTCTGATCGGCAAGTCCTAGGCTCTGTGGTTTAACCCACAGCACCACCCGCATCCCTCAAGGGGTACATACATTGTGTTAAATAAATGTAATGATAATGTAAGTAATTACATAAAATTCTGCTGCAACGGACAGCAATATGACTATCGTAGTTTTTCTTGGAAGCTGATATGCAGTGGAATGGAAACAGCACTGCATGCAACGAATACAAGCTGGAACGGACATCCATGCCTTTTTAAATCCCTATTTTCCCAAAGGGGTGGGCTTCAAACAATGCAATGACTAGCTATTTATATACTGCCTACTTCTTGCCCCAAGGACCAGAGCTGAGGCTGTGTAAATTCCAAGACTTCATCGTTGGGTGGACTCAGAAGGCTGAACTGATGCATGCTGTCCGCACTGTTTCTGATCACACTTCCCCAACCAAGATCACTGAATGGCTTAATGCACTGTGTTGTGTGAGGCTGTAGGCTGAGGCCAATGAGAAGCTGCAACCACCTCCGCCCAGCCTGATGCCTTCATTAATAATAATAATAATAATAACAACAATTTTTATATGCCGGCCATCTGACTTGCTTGCCCCAGCCAGGGTGGGCTGCTCCCAAGAAAAAAAGAGTAAAAACACAACCCAATTGAGTAACCCAATTAGGTTACTCACTTCCAGAGTGTTGCTATTTTGGGAGCAGGATTCAAACACATACCAGGAAATTCAGGTAGTACAACAACTACAGCTGATCAGGAGGTCTGGTTCAACAAACCCGCTTCCCCAAAAAGATTGTACTTTTTGCCAGAGTGAAGAGGAAATGCACAGATAAGTGTGGGATGACATCTGCTTCAATGGTGGAAACAAATTGGGATGAATGCTCACATCAACAGGTGTCTGGATGGACCCTCGATGGGATCCACTCACTTCCTTCCCTTGCAGTCCTCATCGAGAAGAGTCTCAAACCCTATTCAAACGAAGCATTGCGCAAGAACTGGGATCAGCCAACGACGCTTTAGGGCAGATATAAAGAAGTACTTGTCCACATTGCACACAGTTAAAACGACAGAACACGTTGTCTCCAATTTGGTGACAGCCAGTCACTTAGACAGCTTTAGAGAGATCAGACGATATCATGGAGAAGAAAGTCACGATGGCAATATACGCTCTCTCCGGGATCAGAGTCTGTTTGTGTCTGGGTGCCCCTTGCTAGGGGGCGCACAGGAAAGGGGGGGCTTTGTACCATGCTTGGTGGGCCAGTCCCGGAGGCGTCTGACTGGCGAGTGTAGGGATCCGGAGGCCAGACTAGGCAGCCGTTGCTCTGACGCAACAGGGCGCTTCGTAAGGGCGAGTGAGAGCAAGCTGTTAGGCTAATGGAAGAGAAGCTCTCCTCCCCAGGAGTTTGAGGGGAAAATAAAAGTCTGAAGGGGAAGCACTATAGAAGGGACGGGCATTAAAAATAAAGCATTGGAGGGGTTAAATGAGACAAAAAACTCCTGATATTTCGTGCACTGCTATTAAGCCAGCGTAAGAAAAACACCAACCAGTCCAGTATCCTGGTTGGCCAGCCACTGTGAGAAAAGGATGCTGGACTAGGTGCAGGGCCATGATCCTGCAAGCTCTTTTTATGTGCTGTTTGCACTGAGGCCAGCCAGATGCCTGCGAGAAGCCAGAAAGCAAGACCTGAGAGCTGCTCACCTGCCATGCCCAGCAATTCAGAGGCAACCTCCAAGAGGAGAGGTAGAGCATGACCATCAGGTCTAGTGGTCACGGAATTGCAGTCCGGGTTGGCAAAGAGTTTAGCAAGACGTAAGGGCTGTGGGTGGGAAACAACGTTTTAGCTTGGTTAAGAAGGCAAACAGGAGTTTCCTCCTGAGCTTTCGTTTATTGTTAATATAATTTCCCACCTTCCAATCTTTTTCCTTCCAATCCCGTCTTCACAGTCCCCGGTGTATCAACCTACCTGGCTGCAGTAGACCTTCCTTCCTTGCCAAAATGTATAGGCTCAAGCTACCTAACAGCACGGAAGAATTGGCGACAGAGCACTCTGCACGTGCTCAGGGGCACCGCCGGCACGGCGCTGAAGACAGGCCGAGGACGAACGCCAACCCAAATCAACGCCCGTCCCCAAACACACCTCCTAAGCCCAACTCAGTTCTCAGCGCCACCCACACATCTCCCCCAGGGGGCAGGACAGAAGGAAAAGTAGACTAGGGGGCGCCACACCGGGGAAGAACTGCGCCGGTCTCCGGCTCGCCTCGCAGCTTTACTCGACGGCGCGGAGACTTCGCAGCCCCGGGCGGCTGGAGGAAGGGCTGGGCCGGCTCCGGGGCGTGCGCCGCCGCTCGAGGGAGTCGCGGGGGCTCCCCGATGCCCCCCCCAAAAACACACCCAATGGCCGCAGAAGGAGGCGCGCTGCGCCAAGCTCCGGCTCCTGCGCCCCGTCGCCTCTCTCCGGGCGCGCAGCCTTCCCGGGCTCCCTGCGGCCTCTCTCGGCTCGCCCAGGAAAAACTTTGCAGAGGAAGAGGAGGAGGAGTCGCCCCCTTCCCCACTCACTCACCCGGCCACCGCAGGGCTCGTGGACGCCCCAGTCCGGCGATCGGAGTTCTCCACCCGACGGCCCCGGGCAGCACCGCGCGCCGCGCTCACCTCCCCGGACTGCGCGGTCCAAACTCTGCAGGCGCTGGGGGTGTTGTTGGAGGGGAGGGGATCGCGGCTTCTTCTCGCGGCTCCCCTGCTCCGATCCAGCTTCTCCCCTCTCGGCGAGCTCCTCTATACCGCGCAGGGGGAGGAAGGAAGGGGGAGAGGTGGGCGGCGGGCAGGAGGGGTGGGACGCGGCCGCCGCCGCCGCCGCCACACACGCCGCGCGCTCTCTGCCTTAACTCTTCCTCCGCCGGGCGCAGCAGCGCGCTCGGGACAGGCGCTGGGCAGCGGCGCCCGGAGCCCCGGGAAGGCGGGGAGCGCGCGGCGCCGAGCTGGCCGAAAGCCCCCCCGCCTCGAAATGCGACGGCCTCTCCTCTGCCGGATCCTCTCCTTCCCTCCTTCCCTACCCCGCACCCACCCATCATCCCGTTCTGTTTAGTAGGAATTTTAACATTTCCATTTTCTGAACGGTTAAAAAAAAAATCCTATATGGAACAATTACATAAACGGAGCGGGGTGGTGTGTTTTGGTGGGGGTTTTTTTTCTGAGAAGCGGAGAAAACCCAAGGAGAGACGCTGCTGGAACAAAACAACAGCATCTCTTTCCTGAAGGCCGGTGCAATTCCTCACCCACCCCAAAGACCCAGAGATGGCGGAGCACATGAAGAAACATACCTCCTCCACCTTTTTAAAAAAACATAGGAAGCTGCCTTTCTCCATCGAGCTCCATATTGTCTGCACTGGCTGGCAGCAGCTCTCCAGGGGTTCTGGCAGGGGGCATTCCCAGCCCTGCTGGAGAGGCCAGGGGTTCAGCCTGGAACCTCCTGCCTGGAAAGCAGATGCACTACTGCTGTGCTCACTCATCAGGCAGAACTGAAGGAACAGGAGGGCTGCTGGCCTTCGCTTTTTATAACCTGTTTCAGGCCCTTGTGGCATAGCAGTCTGGGGGGGTTGGACTGGGACGTGGATGCAGGAACTGCACTGCAGGGGTTGGACTTAGATGAAACTCCGTGTACCTTCCAGCTCTACAGTTCTATGATCCTGCGCCGCTAGGTCCAGATCTTCATTCATAAAAGCTAAAAGCAGCAAATGCCATCTAAAGAGTCTGTGAGACTCTCCTTTCTCCGTCCCTCTCCTGGAGGGACGATGCCACATCTGCAACACAGGCAGCCTTACATTTAGGCACTTGCCTGGTAGCTCAAGGTGTCAAGGCATGCTGGTGAGAGGCTCCTTTCCTCCTCTGCCTTTTAGCATAGAAACCAAGCTGGCTACTAGAAGGAAAGCCGCCTGCTTTTCATCCAGCAGAGAAATGCTCACCACCAACGTCTGACAGCCCCTAGCAGGCTAGATCATTTTTTAAAAATTCTTGCATGCAAGAGGCTGCTATGCTTGTACAGTGCAAACATGGATCTTCCCCCACCCTGTTTTCTGTAACCTGTCTTTAATTTGTGCTGTTTCAATGTCCGGCATGTGGAAGATTGCTTTGGAGAGGAATGCTCATACCCACCAACCCAGAGCTCTGATCTCACCCAACCCCCTTGTGCTCCTTTATTGTTCCTTCCCGGATCTCGGACGATTCGCCTCTTAGCTAGCACCCGTTTCCTTTCGCAGCGATCCACCATCCCCACCCAGCTCATGGGCTTCCCAGTTGTACAAACTCAGTAGCGTTCCATGATGGAACAAAGGCAGGCTAGGAAACTAATGAAAATCTCCTAGGAAGCTATCGCAGACCATTGGCCCCATTGGCTCGGTTTGGGCTGGTTGTTATCAGAGCCCAGTAACTTTCGAGAACCAGAGGTTCCCCTGGTCCTGATCTACAGGGTTTCTAACACAATCCCCCCCCCCCAGCCTACCAGGAGATGCCTGAGGTCGATCCTGGAACCATCTGCATACCAAGCATGGGGTCTGCCACACAACTGCAGCTCCTTCCCTTTAAGAACAAAACGAAACACAGCAATTCTTCAAAGAGAAGCTGCTTTTCCGGACTGCTCCCTTTCCAGCCGGCCGCTGGCATGCATTATACTTCTCCTTAAAAGGGTAGGCAGTGTCATGTACAGACAGTATTTGAGTGGTACAACATGGAGAAAGCTACCCCCGGAGTGCAACCATCGTCATGGGATGGGCCAGGGGGCCTGAGGCTGCTCTTTTATGCTGGGTCCCGACTCCCCTGGCTTTCCCTCCTTTTCTAAAACTGTTTTACTTTGCTTACAGGGTTTCTGCGCATCCAGGCCCCATCAGGGACACACACACGCTGCCACCCAGTACCTTGATTTCCTCAGATTTAAAGGCGCACATATGTATATTAGCATATAAAAGGTAAAGGGGCCCCTGACCATTAGGTCCAGTCGTGGCCGACTCTGGGGTTGCGGCGCTCATCTCACTTTATTGGCCGAGGGAGACGGCATACAGCTTCTGGGTCAAGTGGCGAACCAGAGCAGCACATGGAAATGCCGGTTCCCTTCCCGCCGGAGCGGTACCTATTTATCTACTTGCACTTTGACGTGCTTTTGAACTGCTAGGTTGGCAGGAGCAGGGACCGAGCAACGGGAGCTCACCCCGTCGCAGGGATGCGAACCGCCAATCTTCTGATCGGCAAGTCCTAGGTTCTGTGGTTTAACCCACAGCGCCACCCACGTCCCTATATCAGCACATACCCCGAGTCTTTTAAGTACCTAGCGGAATCCCTACATCACACATAATGTTCAGTGCGGCCTAGTGGTTAGTGTGTCAGGCTAGTACCCAGGAGAACAGGGTTCAAACCACCATTCTGCCAGGAAATTCACAGGGTGACCTTGGGCCAGTCACTGCCTCTCAGCCTAACCTACCTCGCAAGGTTGTCGTGGGGTTTACATGGACAGGGAGAACCACGTTCCCTTGGAGAAGGTGGCATATAAATCCAATCCATCAAATTTTACTTCCATGAAGAAATGTATATATGAAATATACATAAGATATATGAAACGTCCAGTTGGTTTCCGGCTATCCAGTTCTCTGGCAGCTGCCTGCATCCATCTGTCATATGTTGACGGTTTGCCAGAGGTGAGCAACTGGCTCAGGACTGAGTGCCTCACTCGAAATGCATAATTAGTGAGAAGGCTGCAGCTAATTTGTTCATTTAGGGGACAGGCAATGAACCTACCTTGTGCACTGTTTGCATGAATGTGATGTACAATAAGCCAGAGATGTCAGACATATTGGATTTATTATGCAATATTAGTCTGGAATCATAAGCCACATTGTATGTAAGAACACAAGATTTTGTCCACCTGCTTCCAGCCAGCCTGGGACTTCACAAGCAGTGCATTAAGCTTGTATGCATCTCCTGTTGCTAGTCCCTAGCATATGGGTAATCACAGATATACTGTTTGTATGCATGGAAGTGTTTTTGTTTTGTTTTATGGAAGTGTTTTTGTTTTTTTTTGTTTTTTTTTGTTTTTTTTTGTTTTTTTGTTTTTTTAAGTATTTTGTTTTTTTGTCGTGGTTAGTAGCCTTGGTAGTCCATTCCTCCATAAAGTTGTCTTAATTTTTTAATTTATTTTTTTAAGTCTTATAAACTGGTGGCCACCTTCACATCTTGGAGGAAAAGATTTTGTGCATGAATTAAAGTATAAAAAGCACCACTCGAGTCTTAAAAAAAACCCCAGAACTCCAAACCAATTAAAATTGACATTTTAATAACTTAATAGATCTGTGCTTTTAAAGCATTTGTGTATACTTTGTCACCATCTTTCAAACCTTATTTCCATAAACATGACAAGTAGATTTGCACTTGATGAAGTAAGTTACAGCCTTCAAAAGTCACGGAAGCTTCCGTGGCAGTCATTAAACTGGTGCAAGATGCTTTTCTCTTGTGTTTGCAACAGATGAACAGTTGTTCTGACGCGGCAGCTAAAAAAGCCAATGCAATTCTGGGCTGCATCAATAGGAGTATAGCATCTAGATCAAGGGAAGTAATAGTGCCACTGTATTCTGCTCTGGTCAGACCTCACCTGGAGTACTGTGTCCAGTTCTGGGCACCACAGTTCAAGAAGGACACTGACAAACTGGAACGTGTCCAGAGGAGGGCAACCAAAAATGGTCAAAGGCCTGGAAACGATGCCTTATGAGGAACGGCTAAGGGAGCTGGGCATGTTTAGCCTGGAGAAGAGGAGGTTAAGGGGTGATATGATAGCCATGTTCAAATATATAAAAGGATGTCACATAGAGGAGGGAGAAAGGTTGTTTTCTGCTGCTCCAGAGAAGCGGACACGGAGCAATGGATCCAAACTACAAGAAAGAAGATTCCACCTAAACATTAGGAAGAACTTCCTGACAGTAAGAGCTGTTCGACAGTGGAATTTGCTGCCAAGGAGTGTGGTGGAGTCTCCTTCTTTGGAGGTCTTTAAGCAGTGGCTTGACAACCATATGTCAGGAGTGCTCTGATGGTGTTTCCTGCTTGGCAGGGGGTTGGACTCGATTGCCCTTGTGGTCTCTTCCAACTCTATGATTCTATGATTCTATAACACCGAAGATTAGATGTCATGTGCAAAAGGTAGTTCTGTTCAAACCGGACCCAACATTTTTAAAAAAAAAAGGTTCCTGGGCTTTCAAAATGCAAAAATATCACAGGTGAAACCTTTTGTCTCCATGCACAACTGCCTGCTAGGAAACTAATTTGGCAACGCTACATATGAAAGGGTCAGAACTCCTATGTCTTGAGTGGCAACTCATATCCTGTAGTCCTCTTCAGAACGAAACAGGGCACCCTGGCCTTTAGCGAGATAATTGGAGGATTTGCGGGTGGGGGAGAAAAGCAACTATTCCCACCATTGCAAGATCATGACTGGAAAATCTGTGCCTATTAAAACTCCCTCCTCTTGTATACGCTATTTAAAGACACAGGAGTCCTTTAGAGGAGTTAGTCTAGCAGCTCTTATGATTGTTCACAGTACACTGCGAGGGAAGTTTGCAGAAATTTGACATAAACATTATTGATTTGCAAGGTTCATTTGGCCCCCCAACATATAATCTGCATGATTTCACCCTGAACACCAATTACCTTGTCCAAAATGAGTTTGGGCAGCAAGGGCAAATAGCTTTGGCAAGCAAATGAGATGCAATCTGTGCAACAAAAGC